CTGCATCCCTAGGAGAGCCTAGGACACTGCCCCCTCTTTGCTGCCACTCGCCACCCAGTCTTGATTGGCAACGGTGGTGCCTTCCATGGCAGGGGACATGGGCTGGCCCCAAGGCCCAGCAGCTGTGTGTGGAAGGGGACTGCATGACGTGGCATGTCAGGGACATCCTCTGCTCCCCAACGGTCTGCTCAAGGGAGCCAGACCCCAGACCCACAGGGACCACAGCTGATCTCTGCTCGCCGTCCTTTGACTGACCTCAGCCTGCCATCTGTTGTCGCTTTGGCAGGCGTTTCTGAGGGAGACTCCCTCCATGCTCACGCCCCCTCCCCCAAGGCCTCTCCTCTGGCCTCAGTTTATTCTTCTGTCTAGTGAGTTTCACCCTGTGGCCCGTAAGGCAGAACCACACACCAGGGAAGGACTAGGGTGGAGGGGAACCAGGCTGGGCCTGGGGCCTGCGGGTCCCTCATGGCAGGATGGTGACGTTGGCTTCCCCTCTGCACAGTGAGGAGGTGGGCATGCCAGACTCCGTGGGCCCCTCTTGGAGACATTTTGGCCTGTTGGGTTGTATTTTTCACCTTTAACAAGATCTCTATCAAACAAGTTATATGTGATTATTGTAGAAAAATTAGAAAATGCATTTCTGTTCCCAGTGGTGCCCCTCAGACATGTCCCCTGCCTTAGTCTCCTCTGCTGGCACACACTCATGAGCCCACACATGGATGTACCATGTGTACACTCACCCCTTCAGGGCCACCCTTTGTGCCTGGGGAACTCTGACTGTCAGGGTCACTGGTCACCTTGAGACCGGCCTTGCATGCTGCCCTGGACTGGCTGGGAGCGGGTTTCCATTTGCCCTGGAGGAGGTGACCTGCCTGCTCTGGCATGGTCTGGTCTTGCCTTGCCTCTGGGCTGTTGGTCTGGGTGGGGTGGGGAGCAGGGTCAGCAGGCCCTCATCCCCGGGCCTGGGACCCAGGGCGGCCAAGCCTTCCTGTGGCCCCAGATCTCTGGACTGGCTCAGGTCTGTGCTCACCCTGCTCTCCCACCAGAGGCTGCTGGGTCCAGGTGGCTAGGACAGGTGGGGAGGGAGAAGGTGAGGGGTCTGTAACCCCTTCATGCAGAAAGGGAGGGGGCTCCTCGAGTTCAGGCATGGGACCAGCCTGCAGGGGGTGGGTGGGCAGACCCTGGGCAAGCGAGGGTGTCTGTCTCCTTGACCTCACCTTCCTACCTGTTTTCTTTGTTGTGGGGAGCATGTGTGTTTATGTGTGCCGTTCCTGGCACATTTATCTGTCTCCATCTCTGTCCCCCTCCCACCTCTCCCTCCCGACATGGCATACTAGAGAGAACATGGGCTGCAACATCAAATCCTTCTTCCGCCATGTACTGGCAGTGTGACCTTGGACAAGTCACTGAACCTCTCTGAACTTCATTTTCTTCATCAGTAAAATATTCATCTCCCGGGTCTGTGTAGGGATAGTGTGAGCTTATAGAAGGCCAGAGCCCAGCATCTGGTACATTGGCTGCCTCAGGAAAGGGCAGTTCTTCTTGTAGGTGGCGAAGATGAGATTCACACCAAGCCTTTGACTCCGAGTCCAGTGCTCTCTGCTTCAGAGGGCTGCCTCCGCTGTGGGCCGCAGAAGTGGAATGGGGTTAGGAGCCCACAGGCAGCCACAGCAGGCCTGACTGGTCCCAGCTGGCTCCAGGGGTGATCCCCGTGGAGCAGAGCGCTGTGAGGAGTCCAGCCCCTGCTGCCCCCGTAGCCCTGCAGAGCATCAGTGAAGCTGGGGCTGAGCCAATGGCCTTCCTTTGGGGCCCGTGGGCCTGAGCCTATTTGCATGGGGGCTATAAATAGCCAGCACACCTTGCTTTTGTGCCGTTACTTCAGCCCTTGCCTTCCCACCACTGCTCAGCCACTCTGCGAGGTAGGTAGGCAGACTCTAGCCCCAGAGGGACCGAGGACTTATCTCGAGGTCATGCAGCTGTGGGAGAGGGTGCCTGTTCATGGTGTCTGTCTCCCTCCGTGGATCCGAGTGATACAGTTTGGGGCGCGGAGTTTTCCTAGGACTAGTTTTAGTCCTAGGAAGTCGGGGCCGTCTGACCATCTGGTGCGTTGTGCCAGGTTTGCTACTGGGTAGCTGGGTCTACCACACAGACCATGGATTCCCCCGTCACGGTGCTGTGGCCTGGCCGTCCAGGGTCGGGACTGGGGCTCCGACCTGCTGTGGTTGTGGTTTTCCCTGCAGTGGCTTCTCACTGTGAACAGCAGCTGCTGCAAGTGTGACCCCAGGGAGCTGGAGGGCAGGCCTGACAGGCGGCCCGAAGCTGGGCAGGGAGGCTAGCCGGGACTCTACGCCTCCCTCCTGGGGCTTCTCTGACCCCTGGCCTCCTCCCCACAGCCCCCGTGGTCCTCATGGCCAGCTCCTCCTGCTGGGTGGGCTGGGATAAGGGGGAGCCTTGTAGCTTGCAGGCCATCTGGGCCAGGCCCTCAAGGGAGGCAGCGGGGAAGAGGAGCTGGCCAGTAGGTGTTTGGAACTCACAGGTGCCTCGGGATGGTGCCGTATGTTCCTAGAGATTTGGTTTCGCTATCTGAGACATGGGATCAGTTACCGGAACTGTCTTCCAGGCTTTTGGGCAGGTGGAATGGATGCAGTGTGAAGGGAGGTGCATAGGTGAGGGATGGGTACTCGAGTGAGAAGGGGTGATAGTGATACAAGACCCTTCCCCGAGGCCTGTTGTGTTGATGCTGGCGCTTGGCCTACCTGAGTTCTCAGCCTCATGACAACCCCTGAACCAAGGGACCGTTCATTCTTCCTCTGGAAGGTGGGGGTAACTGAGGCTCTGAGAGGCCAAGTGACCTGCCCAGAGTACCACAGCCAAGAAGTGTTGGCATTGGGGTCTTGTGCCCAGGCAGCCTGACCATCATTTTGCCACCTGAGGCTGCCCTGACTCCTGTCTCCCCGCAGGAGCCCAGGTCCCTCTGAAACATCCTGCTCCTCCTTTGTCCTGCCCCCCTGCCCACTCAGCCCTCATCCTGAGGCACTCAGGAAGTCGGCCACTGCCCCACCTGGGTCTCGTGGTTATCCTGTTAGGAAGAGAGTGAGGGGCTTAGCCATGGCTACTAGGATGCAGATGTGTGGCCTGTGTGTGCTGTGCAGGAGCCAATTATTCTGGACCCCCAGGGAGCGCTCACCCGGGTACTCCATGCCTTGGACCACCTGACCAGGCAAGGAGGCAAGAAGAATAAGATGTCTTTTTGCCTGAGGGTGCGGGCACACTCGCCCACACTCACGCACGCTCACAGCCAGGCTCACGCAGCCTTGCGCTTCACGTCGACATTTACTGGGTGCCGCCCACTCACAAGGACTCGCAGGCACACGCACTTCTACAGCTCATGCTGACATAGTCACGCTCATGCAGACCCCTTGAATCCACACATGCATCCTCACACACTTCAACAATGCACACTCACGTGGCTCCAGCCCAGGGAGGAGCCGGCAGCAGCCCACAGTGGCTCTCTGTCTGCCAAGAGGACTGGACGCTGGCCTGGTCCCCAGCACTCATCGCCCACATGGCCGGTCTCAGGCTGAAGGCTGTGGGGCCTGGGCTCTGGCCCAGCTGGGCTCACACACCCACCTTCATTCCCACGAGTAGGATCCAGGCCTGGCAGGGGACATGGTGGGGTCTGCTCTGGCTGCTGGCCTGAAAGGCCTGGCCAGCCCACTGGGCTGGGCGGTTAGCTGAGGTCAGTGTTCCCTGCGAGCTCACCTGGACTTGATGGCTTACCCTGGCCGCCTTGTGGAGTGGCAGGGAGCCATCCCAGGAGGAGGGCGACTGTTTTGTGTACTTGCACACGTGTGTGTGCTGGGGGTGCGTCTCTGGGTCTGCCCCTGTGTGCAGACCTGTGCTCAGGATTGGTGAGTACATACGCGTGTGTATGGACACAGTGAGCGTTATTCAGCCACAGTTACGGTGCAGCCCACATGTGGGGCTTGGTCCAGGAGCAAGTGTCTGTACAGGTGCATGAGTGTGCATGCGTGTGCACGCCACAGATGGCAACCTGAGAGGACCCCTGGGGTCACCTCCTGTAGTGGCCTTCGACTTGGGGAATGGTGAAGAACAAAGGAGTGTGGGAGCCAGCCTTTGAGGTTTAAACTATAATTCAGTGTTATATTTGGTATTAAAATAGTTTTATATTTGGGGAAAAAAATTAGTTTGAGAATGCTGGCACTCTTCCAGGCAGTTGAGAGGCTCTTGACCCAAGGGGCCCGGGTTCAGAGTGTCGGCCACAACCATGTGGGTGGGGCCTCTCTGCCCTGGCCCACATGCTGTGGGCGCTGAATGAGTAGAATCCCAGCTTATTGTTCTGGCTCAGCCTCAGGGTTTCTGTTTTCCCATTGAAAAAGTGGGAGTGGTCATCTTGACGCTGTTTATCTGCCTGGGTACTTACTTAGGAGCAAAAAATAAGTCTTGAAAACCATAAAGGGCTGCATGGGGCTGGGTGGGGGGAGGAGAGGGTACTGTCCCACCCATCTTGACTGGCAACTACTGGCACTGAGGTGCTGGAGTCCAGCACATACTAGGTACCTGGCATGCAGTAGGTGCCCAGCAGTCGGATGCTGAAGGAGGCCCTGAGTGACCCCAACTGAATGACTCGGGAGTCACAGACTCAAATTCCTCCAGGGCCCAGGTAGATTTTGGAGAGGAGTGAAAAGGGTACCCTGGGCTAGGGTAGACTGGCAAGGGTGCCTGATGAGGGGGGCAGCCATGCTGGTGCCGGCTGGCTGTGGCCCAGCAGGCCTGATGTCCCCACATCTCCCACTTTTACCAGCGATGCCACATATCCAGGCTTACATAAAACGTCTCAATTTTTAACACTGGCAACTAGGACGAGTGCATTTAGGTGCCATGTGGGCCAAACCCAGTGGTGTGAGAGCTTCCGGGGAGCAGGTACCTGCCTGCCTCCCGTGCCCTGGCTGCCCAGCCTCACCCTGTTGTCTCCACAGCCCCGCCACAGGCCCCGCCATGGCGCCCTTCCTGCGCATTGCTTTCAACTCCTACGAGCTGGGCTCTCTACAGGCCATGGATGAGGCAAACCAGCCCTTCTGTGCCGTGAAGATGAAGGAGGCTCTCAGCACAGGTAGGGCTGGAGGCTGGATCCTGGAGAGATGGGGGCAGCCAGTGGGGCTGGGATCGGAGGGGGCTTGCCTCATTCCCCAGACCTCTAGGGGCTCCCCCTCCTCGTCCTCGTCTCTCTGTCCTACCCAGGTGTGGGCAAAAGCAGAGGCCACCAAGTCCCTCTAGGACCTCAAATGCTGGCTAAATTGAGGCCTCTTTGGGAACTGGGGTGTCTAGCTTCTCTCCCAATGATTGTTTTACCCAACAATTTCTGCACATCCCTCTGTGCCGTGTGTTGAGGATACTGCCATGCTCCAGGACTGACCTGGCTCTCCCCTCCTGGGCTCACAGTCAGGTTGGAGAGGTGGATGTGTCACCAGGCAGTGAGTCCTGTGATGGTGAAGCTCAGAGGAGGCACCTGTTCCCAGCCTGAGTTCAGTCAGGGAGGGCTTCCTGGAAGAGGCAAATATCTTACACATTCCCTCTTGCTTGTGCTCTCACCTGGTGAACCCATGCTTATCCCTGAGGTCTCAGCTGAGCTGTCCTTTCGTCCAGGAAGCCTTCTGTGACCCCCAGGCTGGGTCAGGCCACCTGACCATGGATGGTTTTAGAACCACAGGCCTTGCTCTATTCAATCTTGTCAGAGCTGTGACTTAACATTTACTCGAGGGATGAGTTGGTTTTCATCCATCTCTGTCTGAGCCTGGGGCTCTGGGAGAACAGGCACTGGGTCCGTTTTTCTTCTACCACGTTCCTTGCCTCCCATACCATGGCTGCTGTGTGGAGAGCTCTCAGCACGTGTTCAGCAAGTGAATGCAGAGGGAAGATGACTTCCAAGTGGGGCTAAAGGAAGAGGGGACACAGGAGCAAAGGCCTGGGGGTGGGGCCTAGCAAGGTGCCCTAGGGGAGTGCGGGCAGCCCAGTGTATGGACGCACGTCGTGGGCAAGGTGAGGCTGGTGAGTTCAACATAGTGGTCCCAAGGACACAGGGGAGCCAGAGGGGCCTTCAGGGAGGGAGAGCCAGTCAGATTCTGCCAGGGTTGAAGGCTGTGGGAGGGCCAGGGAAGGACCGAGGGGCCCACCCTGACCGTGCTTAACGGGCCTCGTTGCAGAGCGTGGAAAGACGCTGGTGCAGAAGAAGCCGACCATGTACCCTGAATGGAAGTCATCATTTGACGCCCACATCTATGAGGGCCGTGTCATCCAGATCGTGCTGATGCGGGCAGCCGAAGACCCCATGTCCGAGGTGACCGTGGGTGTGTCGGTGCTGGCCGAGCGCTGCAAGAAGAACAACGGCAAGGCCGAGTTCTGGGTGAGGAGCATACGAGCCACAGTCATGCGCACGTGTTTGCGTGTGCACGTGTGTGGGCGTGCATGTGTGCTGCTGTGCTGAGTGAGCACGGCCACAGGGCCTGTGCTGGCCACGAGGACAGCTCTGCAGGAGGTGGAGCCTGGGCTCGAATCCCGGCTCTGTGGCTTCCCAGATCCTCAGCCTCTCTGAGCCTGTTTCTGCATCTCTAAAAGTCCAGGCCTTGGATCGGTTGTTTAGACAAAGTGAGTCACTACATGTAAACGGCTCAGTGCAGAGCCCGGCACATGGTGGGTGCTAGAGAGCCGGCCTCCTTCTTGCCATTACTTTTTTCCCTTTTAATGTTTTCAAGGTAGACTGTGTACATGGTAGAAGCTTTCAAACTGTACGAAAGGGTGTGTCCCTGCCCCAACACCAGGCCACCAGTCCCCCTGTCTCAGAGGCGCCCGCTGCCCCACTTTTTTGTGGAACCTTTGCAGATATCCCAGGTCTAAGCAGGCATTTGGGAACAGCAGTTATGATCTTTAACAGCAGGGAGCTGGGGGAAGGGGAAGGGGAAGGGGAAGGCTGATGACCCCGCCCACCCACGTGCTGAAGCTGGGAGTCTGCACCTGCATGTCTGATGGCCGTGTGTGGCACGTGTGCCAGGTGACCCCAGGATGCCAGTGGTGGCAGCGCTTCCCTCCTCTCGGGTTACGAGTGGGCTTCTGCAGCCAGATGCAACACGAAAAGGCCCCGTGACCATCCATGGCTCTGGTCAGCCTCCAGTGAGGGGTGAAGGGACTGGGGCAGAAGAGAAGCTGACACAGGGCAGCAGCCACCCCCAGGCAGGCAGGGACACCCCAGGGCTCCTTGCTGTGCTCTCTCTCCACTCCCCGAAGGGAGGATGTCACCACCAGGCCTGGTCCTGGGGTTGGTGAGGGAATTGAGGCTTGGGTCCTGCCCTTAGGAGCAGGAGCGTCCAGTCTGTGTGAAAATCAAGCCAAACCCTTTGCCTTCAAGTCGATTCCAACTCACAGTGACCCTATATGACAGAATAGAGCTGCCCCATAGGGTTTCCAGGGAGTGGCTGGTGGATTCAAACTGCTGACCTTTTGGTTAGTAGCCAAGCTCTTAACCACATGCCACCAGGGCTCCAAGGAGACTGGAAATGCAGAGCAGAGGGGCCAATCAGGGAGGGCTTCATGGAGAAAACAAGCTTTTACAAATAAAGCCTGAGACCCAGCATGGGGTGTGTTAGTATGCATGTGTGTCTGTGTCTCCCTGCATGTGTACATGGGGGGACAGGGTGCCTCCATTCCGAGGTCCTTGTTGAGGGGGCATCAGGGGCTGAGGGTGGGGAGTTTCCCTTCCCTTCCCACTCTGTTCCCAGGGCCATGTGGCCAGGCTGGGTGTGGGCTGGATCCTTTCACTTCCCTAAATGTAATAATAACCCTGGGTGAGGGGTGGGGGGCGGGGCTCAGGGGTGGGGCCCTGCCCACTCTGGGCAGCCAGGTGTCCGGCTAGGCCGCCAGGCCTGGCTTGGCCTTGAGGGACCAAACATGGGGCCGGGTTCTGAGTCTAGCCTGGCCCAGGCCCGTCCTGACTGACCTTTTGTCCCCGCCTCACCCCCACAGCTGGACCTTCAACCCCAGGCCAAGGTGTTGATGTCAGTGCAGTATTTCCTGGAAGACGTGGGTAAGACCCTCCCCATCTGGTCTGGGGACTTAGGGTCCCTTCTGCCAGGTTCAGAGGTCAGAGCCAAGGCCAGGGTTAGAGAAGCAGCCCTCATTGTGGTCTGTCCAGGGCCACCCAGAGAGGGACTGTGGGGATGCTGCCCTCCCAGGCCCTGGGACTCACTTCACCACTCTGTGGCCCCCAGATTGCAAGCTGTCTATTCGGGGTGAGGACGAGGCCAAGTTCCCTACAATGAACCGCCGTGGAGCCATCAAACAGGCCAAAATCCACTACATCAAGAATCATGAGTTCATTGCCACCTTCTTTGGGCAGCCCACCTTCTGTTCTGTGTGCAAGGAATTTGTCTGGTGAGGGCTGGGTGAGCCTGCTCGGGGGTGGTACAGGGCCAGGGAAGGCCCTGACACCAGGGGCTCCCCCTCACTCACCCTGCCTTGGGGATTTGCCTTTCAGGGGTCTCAACAAGCAAGGCTACAAATGCAGGCGTAAGTGTCTCCATAGCACGGTTTGTATGCGTATCTGTGTGCCGTGGTGTGCAAGCTAGCGCCAGTGTGTTCACAGGAATGCCTGTGTCCGCGTTGGGACTGTGTGTCTGCACAAGGGGCTCTGTGTACCTAAGCGTGTATACATGAGATTTTCCATGGTAGAGAGTGTGTGTGTGTGTGTGTGTGTGTGTGTGTGTGTGTACAGTAGCTACGTTCAGCTGGAGCCAGCTTGCTCCTGCTCACAGGAGCCAATTTTCTACGTCTCTTCTCAACTCTGTGTTCAGTGACGTCACGTTGGTAGCCTGAAGTTGGCCACGATGGGAGTATTTACACCATGGAAATTAGCCAGTGCTACAAGTTAGGGCTCTTTTCCTCCAGAGAGCCAGTGCTTTAGGCATTTACTAGCACTCCACTGGCTGCATATGTGCTCCCATTTAGATATGTTTGTCTCTGGATACACACATGTGAGGACACCTTTCTCCACACGGATGTGTGCACAATACGGTGTGGGGTAGTGGTTATGAACACGAGCTCTGGAGCCAGGCTGCCTGTGTTTGAATCCCAGCTCCAGTACTGCCTAGCTGTATGGCCTTACTCTGTGCCTCAGAGGGATAATACAGGCATTGTGAAGATCAAGCGAGATAAAATATATAAAGCGTGTATTTTTAGTGCTTGGCACATGGTAAACATTCAATATAAGTAGGCTATTGTCATTATTACATGTGCTGTGTATGTGTGTACATGTGTCTCTGTTGGGGCGTGTCTGTGTAGGTACACGGGAAGAGAGCACTTAGGACCTGTTTGCTGTCCTGGGCCATGGGAAAGGGGGCTCTTCCACCTCCAGCTCTCCTCAGAGCAATGCCCCGTGCCCCTCACCTCTGCCCCACTCCCCGCCCATCAGGAGGCCTTGAACCCTCCCCAGTCTCTGAGCCCCTTCAGACCGGCGCATCTTCCCAGCCCCGTCCTCCCCAGGCCCCTCCTCCCAGGGCTGATGGGAGGAGAGAGAAACCCTGCTAGGGCCCAAGGCCTCTGTGAGGGTGAGGGTGTGGGTGGTCAAGGAGAAGGGTGGCTTTGTGTTGCGGGCTGGCCTGGGCCAGCAGGCGCCAGCTCATAGACTCTGCCCCCTCCCTGTGCCTTCCCAACCCCCTCCTGTCCTGCGCCTCCTCAAGAATGCAACGCTGCTATCCACAAGAAATGTATCGACAAGATCATCGGCCGGTGCACCGGCACCGCGGCCAACAGCCGGGACACCATGGTGAGGCTGGGCCCAGGACAGGGTCCTGGGGATCTGAGAGGCTTGGCTAGGTGGGAGGGATTTGGGCTCTCCACAGCTGTTCCTTGTGGGGCTCACCCTCCCTTCCCACTTTTCTTCGCCCTTCCTTGCCTCCCGCCTTGGCTCTTGTGACCTCCGGTCCCCAGTGGACCCTTCTTTGGCATCTTTTATCATCCGTGAGGTTTGGGGAAGGTAGGAGCTGAAGAAGGAGCTAGAACTGGCATGTGACCCTTGACCTATGACCTCACCCCCACCCCAGTTCCAGAAAGAACGCTTCAACATCGACATGCCGCACCGGTTCAAGGTGTACAACTACATGAGCCCCACCTTCTGTGACCACTGTGGCAGCCTGCTCTGGGGGCTGGTGAAGCAGGGATTAAAGTGTGCAGGTGTGTGCCGCCTGGGGCTTGGCGGGAGGGGTGCACCCACGGGGGGTCTCACTCACTTGAACCTCTTTAACTCCTACCAGCTAACCAACTAACTAACTCCAACACTGAGCTAACTAATGCCGCCTTTGCCCTAAGGAATCCTGTCTGCACCTCGTTCGAGGATGTCACGTGGGTGAGGCCTCTGTGGCCCTCCCTGCTGGCCTATGTGGCACTGCCGTTTACTTTTGCATGACCACTGGACAGGTGGCCTCACCCCTCTGAGCCTCAGGCTCCTCAAATGTAAAATGGGGGTGTGAGTATGACCTGGAGAGTCCCTGTGAGGGGCAAGGAGGAGTACGCAGAAAGTGCTTGCCCACGGTCTGCCACACAGTAGGGGGCGCTCTGCAGACACTGGTGGCCCCCCTCCTCCGCCCACAGAGTCCCCCATGCTTCACTTGGCTCCCATCTGACAGATGAGAAACAGGAGACCCCTTGAGGGGAAATGACTCGTCTTAGTTGGCCCAGACGTTCTTTGGTGGGCTTAGGGTTAGATCCCATATCTTCTGTTTTTCTTCTTCGAATTATTGAAAGTGCACTTGATGGCTTCATATACATTTTTTTCTAAAGACGGGAAATCCAGCAGACCCTACCGAACCCTCGTCTTCTGCTTCTCCTTCTGCCCCTCCCTGACTTCGCCCCATCCTGATTGCTGTTCTGACTGCCCCACCTCTCCCTCACCCAGACTGTGGCATGAATGTACACCACAAGTGCCAGAAGAAAGTGGCCAACCTCTGTGGCATCAACCAGAAGCTCTTGGCTGAGGCGCTGAACCAAGTCAGCCAGGTGGGCAGGCCCCATGGGGACCCTGGGCCCAGGTCAGTGGGGTGGGAGGGGGTGGTCTTCCTGAGGAACCGTAGTTGAGGGTGTTATACTCAGGACCCCACTTCTGGAAGATCTCAATTCAAGAATTAGGTAGCAGAGGGAGATGGGCTTGTTCTCATGAGAAATTAGTTATCCAAGCAGCTCTTTACTTGAGGATGGACCTGGAGAACCTCAGGGTTGCTTGCTGCAAAACTGTAAGGTAAAACTCTAGAATCAATCAGAAATGAAAGTAACACAAATAAAAATCTATTAAGTCTTTGGGAAGGTGGGGTTCAATTTACAAACTCTTAGTCTGTAATCATTGCCTTCCGGACCACTGGAAGTTTGCGTGTGTGTGTGTGTGTTTGTACCACCTGAGGGTCCGGGCTCTGACCCTGCTGTCCCCCATCAGTATTGAGGGTGGAGTTAGGGTTGGGGGTCCTCCCTTTGGGTTAGGGGTTCTGACGATGGTGTGACTGTCTGACCCTCCCAGTCTCTCTCCCTCCCCAGAGATCCTCCCGCAGGTCAGATTCAGGGTCTTCAGAGCCTGTTGGGATCTACCAGAGTTTTGAGAAGAAACCAGGGGTCTCTGGGGATGATGGCCCAGGTGAGACTGGACCATTTCTTGCATTAAAGTCCCCGCTTCCTACCAGGGCACAGGATGGGACCCAGCCTCCTTCCCGCTGTTGAGTGTGACCTAGGAGGAGGTAGCACTCCTGAGGAGGGAGGCCCCGGGCCCCACCTGACTCCTGGACCCAAGGGGCGGAGAATTGTCCAGGCAGGGGCCTGAGTCTAAGCCACCATCTCTTGAACAGACAACGGGACCTACGGCAAGATCTGGGAGGGCAGCACCAGGTGTACCATCGAGAACTTCACCTTCCACAAGGTCCTGGGCAAAGGCAGCTTTGGGAAGGTGAGGGGCTGTGTGGCCCTGAGGCAGCCCAAGGGACTGGGCTTAGGAGCGAGGGGCAGCTACTTCCAGCTCTATCCTGGCTTCTTCCTGGCTAGGTGGGTGGAGGCTGGGAGTCAGTAGGTAGGACCATGACGCCCTGGCCTTTGCTTCACCTTCACCCTGGCCATCCACTGTTCCTCTGCATCCTCACCCATCCGCTGCATCCTCGCCCACTTGCCAGGTGCTGCTTGCAGAGCTGAAGGGCAAAAGGGAGTTCTTCGCTATCAAGGCCCTTAAGAAGGACGTGGTTCTGATCGATGACGACGTGGAATGCACCATGGTGGAGAAGCGGGTGCTGGCACTCGCCTGGGAGAATCCCTTTCTCACCCATCTGTTTTGCACTTTCCAGACCAAGGTGCCCATCCCTTCCCCTGCCATTGCCCACGGGCACAGCCCCCCTCAGGCCCCTAGAAGCAGGGCCATGTCTCCCCTGCAGACTCTCCAAGGCAAGGCTGTGTCTCCCCCCAGACTCCTTAGAGCAGGGCCTTGTCTTCCTGCACAGACTGCTTAAGGCTGGACCGAGCCTTCCCCCTGCACACCCGCCCCCAGGGCAGTTGTCCTCCTCAGCCCAGGGCCTGTCTCCCACATTATGTCGGGGCCTGCCCCTAGTGGCCCTCATTGAGGGAGCTTCCTGCTATCCTCATGCTTCCTGCCTTCCCCCACCCTAGGACCACCTGTTCTTCGTGATGGAATTCCTCAACGGGGGGGACCTGATGTACCACATCCAGGACAAAGGCCGCTTCGAACTCTACCGCGCCACGTACGTGAGGGCCCTGTGTGGGAAGGGACATCTGGCTCAGAGCCACTGCCAGTCTGCCCTCCATTCCTTCCTCCTTCTCCCTGGAGAAGCCAGCCTGGGTTAGAACTGGGTGGGGGGATTTAGGGGTACACTGGGCACACCATGCCAGAGGCCATGTGAGTGAGTGAGCTCTGACCACGTGCACAGCCCAGGCACGCTAGGTCCTGTCTCCTCCTTGGGCCGTGGCCAGAGCAGCCTGTCAGATGTCCTATCACTTGCATGACACGGGACCCCTGTGTGTGGCCCCCATTTGCACCCTCCCCACATTGTATGTGTACGTGTTATCTATATGAATGTATACACTCTTGTGATAAAGGAGAGAATTCTCTCATTTGCTGTCTTGCCTTTATAATTTTCTTCAATGCCTTGGCTGCCAGCCCCCACTTGCCTGATAAGAGATGTGCTTGATCAGACCCAGGTTGCCCGTGGAGCTATTTGTAGCATTTCCTGCCGCTGGGGGTGGGGGTGAGAGCACAGGCAGAAGCAAGGGCTGGTCAGCAGAAATCCCGGAACACCTTGTCTCTCTTGCCCAGGTTTTATGCAGCCGAGATCCTCTGTGGGCTACAGTTTCTACACAGCAGAGGAATCATCTACAGGTGCGGGGTCTGGGAGGTGTCGGGAGGGAAGGTGGCTCCAACCCATCAAGTCGTCTGAATGCTCTGAGCTGGACCCCATCTCAGTCTGGAGTCAGTCTGTAGTTGGGTATTTACCGAAACCTCCCAGTCCAGTGTTAGGATGCCTCGTGGCCCCTCTGCTGAGGCCAGCACAGTGCCAGGGCCTGGGGGCTCTCTACCTGTACTCTGAGATGGGCAGGGCCGGGGTGGACAGGGCAGCAGTGACTGTCACAGTGCCTGCCCTTTGGACAGGCAGTCTGGGGTTGTTTTTTTTTGGCTTTAGTATTTGTTTTCTACACGTAGCATTTAGTGACATTGATTATATTCTTCGAATTGTACGACCATTCTTACCCTCCTTTTCTGAGTTGTTCCTCTCCATTAACATAAACTCACTGCCCCCTAAGCTTCCTATCTAATCTGTCAAGTCGCTGTTGTCAATTTGATCCCATATAGATAGTTCTTAAAACAGCATGATGCTCAAGGCAGACCTTTTTTACTAGTATAGCTAAACTATTGTTTGGTTTTAAGAAGATTTCAGGGGATAATTTTGATTTAACGTTTAAAGATTATTTCAGGGCAGTAGTTTCAGGGGTTGTTCTAGCCTCCATGGCTCCAGGAAGTCTGGAGTCCATGATAATTTGACATTCTGTTCTACATTTTTCCGCTTTTGATCAGGATTCTTTATCTATAGAGTCTTTGATCAAAACGTTCATTAATGGTAGCAGGGCACCATCTAGTTCTTCCTGGAGCAGGCAGTCTTGCTCTGAAGCCCCATCTGAGCAGTCTAAATATCCACCAATAGGGACTGGTTTCCATAAATTACCACCCAAGAGATTATGGTCCCATCCTATTGTGGAATACTCCACACCCATGAAGAAGGCTGAGGCAGAGCTCTGGGTGCTGCTGTGGGACGATGCCATGATGTACTGTCGAGTAAAAAACCAATTGGCGGGACAGTGTGTGTGGAATCTGGGATGGAGGTTTAAAAAGTTAGGGGTGAGATACACATTGTGATATGCCCGTACGTGTCTAGGATTGCTCTGAGGAGGGCCTGGGGGTTGAGGGCAGAGGTTGAGGGCAGACTTTGCAATCTGTGCCCTTTTCTAGTACTTAAACTTGTTACCATGAGTGCATATTATCTACTTAAAGAGCTAATTACTTAAAAATAGACATCGTTCTTACCTTGTGCAGTCAGATAAACCTGAGCCCGAGGGCCACCTCCTTCACAGGCTGGCTGGGGACCCTGGGCAAGTGACGCAACCTCTCTGAGCCTCATTTTGAGTCAGGGGATAGCACAGTATGTGTACAGCATTCACACACAGTAGACGGCTTGCAGGAAGCACATGTTTTTAGCCTCTCTTTCCCCTTCTGCTGCTGCTTCCTCATTTCCTCGCACCCTTGGGGAGAGTCCTGGACTTCCACGGCTGAGAATGGGGACATGAGTGATGTGGCTGGGGAGGAGGGGAATGGTTCCCTGATGTCTCTCTTTCCCGTCCTCTTCCCTCAGGGACCTCAAACTGGACAACGTGATGCTGGACCAGGATGGCCACATCAAGATCGCCGACTTTGGGATGTGCAAGGAGAACGTATTTGGGGAGAACCGGGCCAGCACCTTCTGCGGCACCCCTGACTACATTGCCCCCGAGGTGAGCTGGGCACCCTCCTGGCCCCCAGTCCACCAGGGTGGGCCAAGGAGGGCTTCTGTCCGAGCCAAAACCTGGAGGATGAGAGGGCCTGGCCAGGCTCATGCTCAGGGCTCCTCTGGGCTCCGGCTGACCTACTGCTCCCCGCCCAGATCCTGCAGGGCCTAAAGTACTCCTTCTCTGTGGACTGGTGGTCCTTTGGGGTCCTTCTCTACGAGATGCTCATCGGCCAGTCTCCCTTCCATGGTGACGATGAGGACGAACTCTTCGAGTCCATCCGTGTGGACACGCCACATTACCCCCGCTGGATTACCAAGGAGTCCAAGGACATTCTGGAGAAGGTGGGGCCCTGGGCAGGGGTGGGGTGGAGCAGGGGTGGCAGATCCTGGGCCACAGGAATGCCGGCAGCTTTCTGGCTCTGCAATGGCAGCCTCACTGATGCCCCAGTCCTAACATACTGTGATTATTGCTCCTTCACCATGGCCCAGGAGCTCCTATCTGAGTACCATGCATTCAGTCAGCCTGGCTTGGTGATTAAGAGCCCAGGGTTAGGAGGCAGACAGACCTGCAACCAAACCCTGGCCCTGCCCATGACTAGCTGGTGACCCCTCGGGCAGGTCACTTGGCCTCTCTTAAGTCTCCATCTCCTCACATACAAAATGGGGATAATGAGAGAACCTGCCTCACAGAGTTGTGGGGAAGAGAAAACTGATGTTCAGTTCTGTGCCAGGCAGATAGTAAGCACTCAATAAACGGGCACTGCTTTTACTCATAAGTCCCACCTGCCCAGGGCCTGTTGTCTTCGAGAGACTTGGGAGCAGAGCAGGCCAGAGAGGCCTCCCTCAGCCCCAGAGCTTCCTAGGCCGTGGCACTGGGCTGGGCCGAGCCCATCTTGGCACTCCTGGGCCTGTTGGGGGTTTGTCAGGGCTTCAGTTTCCCATGGCCCTCGGGTGCTAACCAGGGCCCCTGCTGGGTTACAGCTGTTTGAACGGGACCCATCGAGGAGGCTGGGAGTGACCGGGAACATCAAAATCCACCCCTTCTTCAAGACCATCAACTGGACTCTGCTGGAGAAGCGGCAGATGGAGCCACCCTTCAAGCCCAAAGTGGTATGTGAGCCTGCTTGGGATGGGGCCGCCCATCCCTGTTGCCCCTGCCGTGCTTGCTGGGACGGGCCCTCCTTCGCCCTGTCTCTCCTCTGTGTCACTCACGGTTTCCTCTTCCTTCTTCCAGCAAAGCCTGCTCCCCTGACCCCCTGGCATCAGTCCCTGCCTCTGCCCTTGTATTCTCATCCTGTCTCTCCTCGCTCAGTCATTCAACAAACAGTGGCGATTCTGGGGACTGTGGATCCAGACACCCGTTTAACATATTCTTTAGTGCAGGGGACTATACTTTGAGAATTGGAGTTAAGGCCTTTGCTCCCTCTTCCCTTCCATCCATCCAGTCCATTTTCCAATAAGTGTTTGCAGAGTCCATGTCGTGGGTGGGGCACTGTGTTGGGCTGCGCAGTGACGTGGGAGACCCGGTCCCAGAGCTGGAGAAGTCCCCAGCTAGTAAGAGAGATAAGACACTTGCACACTGATGATAGTTTGCGATACAAGACAACAGTATGAGAGAAGTCACAAGGCCACACGTGATCAGCTGCTGTTGGGAGGGCCTGTCAGCAGGAGCCCAGGATCCAGAGAAGGGCTAGGGTCTGGGAGGCCCGTTGGGAGGGGTAGGACATGAGCAAGGCTGGTGAGATTAGGCCAGGCAGAGGACAGCTAGGAGGCGTTTCAGGGAGGGGAGCGTGGTTTGCACCAAGGCCTGGAATCTGAAGAGGCACCCACAGGACCAGCAGGAGAGCAAAGGCAGGTTGGGGCCAGAATTCAGAGCACCCGGAATGCCTGAGAAGTTGGGACTCTGTGACCTTCCCTCTGCGATTCTTCTCTGATCACGTTTCCTCCAGCCGTTCCCTTTCTCTCCTTTGTTTCCCCTCCTCCACCTGGACACGCTGTCCCCGCTGGGTGGCCTGTGTAATGTGCCCACTTTGGTGCTTTGGGGTTACAGAGCACTTTCTCCTACACTGGGATCGCAAACTCAAATGCCTGCCAGGCTGGGCGAGTAACTAACCACGTGTGTGAAACAGGCCGGGCTGGCTTCAGAAATACGCAGCCTCTCACTTTTGATAGAGACAGGGATAGAATGATTTCTGTGCACTCAGAAAAACAAGGCAGGTATGATCCGTAGCAGCAGTAGACAGTGGGGAGTGGGTGGACCTGTAGCAAGCCGTCCAAAGGGGACTCAGCACCCAGAATGGACATGCCAGGAGGTGAGCCCAGGGCTGCTCTGCTCCGCCAGTTGTCAAAAGAAGCCAGAAATCTGGATTTTTTTAAGGTTAGATTGCCCAATTTTAAAATAGTGGTGCAATGCCATTAAAACAGGTGCTAGCTCTTTTAAGAACTATCTATATGGGATCAAATTGACAACAGCAACTCAAAAGGTTAGATAGGAACCTTAGGGGGCAGTGAGTTTATGTGAATGAGGGAGGAACAACTCAGAAAAGGAGGGTGAGAATGGTTGCACAACTCTACGGATATAATCAATGTCACTAAATTGCACATGTAGAAGTTGTTGAGTTGGTGTATGTTCTGCTGTGTATATTCTCAACAACAACAAATAAAATATTTTTTAGAAAACCCAAAAAGCAAAACAGATGCTAGTCAAAATGATTGTTTGGGCTCGTTCAGTTTGGACCGAGGGCCACCAGTGTGAGACCTCTCTATGACCACCTCATTATATCCTCAGGGATAGGGGTCAGCAACCTTTCCTATAAATGGCTCGATGGTGAATGTTTTAGGCTTTGCAGACCAGATGGTCTCAAAGCAGCCACAGACAGTATGTCAGTGAATGGGCATGGCAGTGTGCTAATAAAACTTTATTTATGGACACTGAAATTTGGATCTCATTTACTTTTCATGTGCCATTAAATATTATTCTTTTGATTTTTTCCAACCATTTAAAAATATAAAATCCATTCTTAGCTTGCAGGCTATACAAAAATAGGTGGCAGGCTGGATTTGGCCCACAGACTGTAGTTTGCCGGCCCCTGCTAGGGAGGATGCCCACCCTTTCTTACCCAGCCCCAAAGCACCCTGCTTGTTCCCCTCATCCCCTTGGGGGAGCAGCATCTGCCTTTCTCCTGTGACTCCTCTCAGGCACTTGAGAGAGACTTCCTTTTTCTCTCTTTCTTTTTAATACTTTATTTTATTTTCGTTGTTGTTGAGAATATGTACAGCAGAACATACACCAATTCAGCAGTTTCTGTATGTACAATTCAGTGACATTGATTACATTGTTTGAGTTGTGCAGCCATTCTCACCCTCCTTTTCCAAACTGTTCTTCCTCCATTAACATAAACTCACTGCTCCCTAAGTTTCCTATCTAATCTTTTGAGTTGCTATAGTCAGTTTGATCCCATATAGATAGTTCTTTAAAAGAGCACAATGTGCAAGGCAGACATTCTTTTACTAGTTAAGCTAAACTATTGTTTGGTTTAAACAAGACTTCAGGGGACGTTTTTGGCTTAAGGTTTAAAGATTATTTCAGGGCAATAGTTTTGGGGCTGCATCCAGCTTCCAAGATTCCAGAAAGTCTGGATTCCATGAGAATTTGAAATTCTGTTCTGCATTTTTCCCCTTTTGATCAGAATTATTTTCTGTAGAATCTTCAATCAAAACATTCAGTAATGGTAGCTGGGCACCATCCAGTTCTTTTGGTCTCATGGCAAAAGAGGCAGTTGTTAACAGGAGCAATTAGAAGCTCCTTTTTCTTTCCTAAATAAGGACAGTTCTGGCCTGGCCCAACCCAACAAGGGATTCTGGCCCTGGGGATTAGGGGTCCGAGGTGTTTAGGAGGTAGCCCCCAGAAATTCAGGAGCATTTGGAAGGCCACTTCTTAGGTCCTGCTCATCCTCCTCTGTCCTCTGCCTGCAGAAGTCACCTGGAGACTACAGCAACTTTGACCAGGAGTTCCTGAATGAGAAGGCACGGCTCTCCTACAGTGACAAGAACCTCATCGACTCCATGGACCAGACGGCATTTGCCGGCTTCTCCTTTGTGAACCCCAAATTCGAGCACCTCTTGGAAAAGTGAGGTCCTTAGACATAGCCCCAGCCCACCTTAGCCAGGGAGCCCAGGCCATCCAGTGCTGCGCTGACCCGGCAGAACAGGCTGTGCCCCCACCCCCACAATAACCAACAGTGTGATTGTCGTGACTTCTGCTGCTGGCCCTCCCTCCCGCCCCCCAGAGGGGCGTTGGACCCTGCCTGGCTGGGCTCTTGTGGTACTCCCTCTGTGAACTGTGTGTGAATTTGCCTTCCCTCTGCCGTCAGAGGGAAATTGTAAATTCTGTGTTGCATTACTTGAATGTAGTTATCTATTGAAGATATATATATATATATATATCTAATAGGCTGTATATATTGCTCAGTAGAGAAAAAACATGGGATGGGGGACTGGTGATGTGTTGATCTTTTTTAAAAAAATGTATATGACCAAAAAAAAAAAAAGGACCACAGGCTATTTGAGCCATCAGGTTCTTTTATTTGTGTGTCTAAATAAACAACAAATGGTACCAGTCTAGCTGTCGGGATATGTTTGTCCCAGCAAGCTGGTGGCAGCTGCTCCCACTTCTGGCAGCTCTGTCCCGGAAGCTAACTGAGCTGTTAGCTGCAGAGACAGACCTCCGGGCCTTCATGCAAATGTGTTTGTATTTATGGGTTTCCTGGGGCCCTAGGGCCCGGGACCTAAAGCAGAAGGCTCTCTGGGTGGCTGCAGGGAGCCCTGAATGTCTCTGAGGGGTCATGGGAGGAGGTGGGACCAGCCCCAAATAGCCTGTCTCAGGAGAGAGGGGGCAGTCCGAAGTGCCGAGAGGCGGAAGGCCTGGCTGGGGCCTGAACAGAGGCTTGGAGACTGGCCCCACCCTAGCAGGAGAGATGCGGCGAAGCCTTCAGGTAGGCCTGGATTCAGATCCTAGAGTAGCTGCAAGATGTGGGCCTGTCGTGGAATCGTCTTAAGCCTCAGTTTCCTCATCTGTACATTGGGGACAAGGCAAGGGGGTAATTGATGTAACACCACATCTCATTATTGTTTATCCCCTGTTCTTATCACAGAGGGGTCTCCTCTGAATTCTAGAATCTATTTTCCAGGAGCCCTCGTCCACCTGGGGAGGGGAGCCAAGTGGGAGAAAGAGGTGATAAATGCTGAGTGGCTGGGGCGAGGTGGAGAGGCATGCTCTGAAATGAAGGTGGAGGCCTGAGGAAGCGCAGCCAGGCAGTGCTGGGTGGCTCTCCTGCTTTGCTGGGCACCACATCTCCTCCACTCTCCCTCCCCACCACCTCAGTGTCTCCCTACCCTTGGAACCTCCTCCCAGCTTCCCATTTCTTCCTCTCTGCCTCTCTCCCTACCTTCCTCCTTCTGTTCTGCTTACTCTCTGGGGCACAGGTCTCAGGCAGAGGCCCGGCCCTCCGGCCCTCTGGTCCAGCCCCTGGAGGTGGGCGAGGTGCCCCTGGCACCTGATTGGCTGGCCCTGGCAGCCAAGCAGCTGATTTCCAGCAAGTACATTTTTCTGGGCTGAGGTACAAGTTTCCACAGCAGGAGAGGGTGAGATGGGGCGGGGCTGGCGCTGGCCAGGAGAGGGGGCTGCAGGACCCCCGCCTGGCTGCTTGCCTGGGACTGCATGGATTGAGGGGGGCCAACTCGCCCTAGAGAGACCAAATGTACCCGCCCCCATCCAGCCTTGCTCTCTGCAAATACTTGTGGGGTCTCTGCTCTGTGTTGGGCTGGATACGTGCAACAGCAGTGAGCACCCCGAAGTGGTGATTGTCCCTTGGGCTTGTAGTCGGGGGAGACAGCATGGCATGGGCTATGTTGGGGGGCGCTGGGGCTATGGGAGCCCAGCCTTGGGTCCCCCTGTCCTCCACCCCTGCCACTGCACACACAGGTCCCTACAACCCATACGGAGCCATCCAAAATCGTTTACAATGATAGTGTGTTTGAATTTGGGATGGATGTCTCACCATCCTCCTGCAGTTCCAAGGCAGAGTCTTGCCCCTGAACTGCCTTCTTCCCCTGTGGAATGGGGGGACTCATAGTCTATCAGCCAGAGGCAGTGGTTGGAATATGTTCCCTGGAATCAGAAGCCTGGGATTCAAGCTCCACTCTGCTACTCACTGTGTAACCTTGACCACTTCCTTCATCTGGGCCTCAATTTACTTATCTGTAAAATGGGGCCATGATACTCTGTTGCCTCATAGAGCTCCCAGCTCTAGGGACCCATTACAGAACTGATGTTGGGTGTCTGATGGTGCTGGGCACAGCCGGAAAGGACAGGGGCTGGGCCTGTGGGACAGCCTGGGATGGGGAAGCAGTGTGGGGGACGCTGCCAAACTGCTGGAAGGCTGTGCAGCCCCAGGCCTGTTCCCAGTCGTTGGGTGGGCGCTCGGCCTGACCCCGCGGCCTCAGGAAATGCCTTTCGTGGTTGGGCACTGAGCCATACTTTCACTGGGATCTGGGGGTCGAGAAGCAGGCAGTCTGTCCCCTCTTCTCCCACCAAGTAGATGTGCAAACAAAGTAGTGGGCATTGGCCCCCATTGCAACAGCCTAGTGGAAACCAGGGCCCACCTGAAATGTGTACTTGACCCTGCACTCTGGTGCAGGACGAGCAGGGGCAGGGCACGGGCTCTGCTGCCAGATGGCTCTGGGTTCAAATCCTGTGTGTTCCTAGTGTGACTTCGGTGAGTGACTAAAACCCCCAGAGCCCCAATTTCCTCAGCTGCTAGACGGAGATAACCGTGATGCTGCTCGTGAACTCCCATGACACAGCAGGTGCTTAGTTAACAGCAGCCACTGTGACCTTCGCTGGGGTGGGACATGCTCACAGTGGACAGCAGGCCTGTCAGCTTCAAGCTGGAACCCCGGCCTTCCTTTGGCAGTTTCTATGAAAAGCTAAAATGCACACACCCCGTGGCGCAGCCATCCCTCCTCTTGGGCAGAGCTCCCTGGAGGATCCTAGCCCACAGGCCGCAGGAGGCTGGCCCAGGATGCCCACCACTGCAGAATAACTGGGAAAAACCAGAAGCAAGCAGAACACCCAGCAGTAGGTGAGGTGGTTAAATACTTTCCTGGTGTGAAAAATGGTGCAGAGCCGAGAGATCAGCAAAAAGAGCAACTTAGAGCATCAAAGGCTTGGGGTTCCATCCCTGTGGTTCCATGTGCAAGCCGAGGAAGGTACTCCAAGGTCTGGGAGCACAGGCAGGGGCTGCAGAGACAAGCGTGAATGAGTTAACAAACCAACGAATGAATGAACGAACAGACTTCCCAGACCCCAGGACCCTTTAAGGCAGTGACTCATTCAGTGTGAACACATACTGATAAAAGACAAGTATCCACCACCACACCGCGTTCTAACCAGCGCATCTCAGCCCCGTTGCATACCGGAATGCAATGCCCAGGCCGTCTCCCTCCCCTAATGAAGTGGTGACCTCTGGAGGGGCCTAGCATCAGTATTTTAAAATCTCCTCAGCTGGTCCAGTGTGTATCAGGATCGAGACCCAGTTGGTTGAGGCCCAGGAATCTGCATTTTTCCCAGGACTACTGGTGAAGCTGTTATCCTCAGACCACACTTGGGGAACTGTTGCTGTGCGCAGGTCACACTCAGGAAAGTGAAGCCACCTGCCCCAAGACCTGTGCCTTCGAGGTTCCTGCTAATGCTCCGGCCACAGGCTGAAGACCTGCCGGCCAGGGCACTGTGGAGGAAGGCCGCGGCAGTCTGGGCTGCAGCGTCCTCTGGTGATCGGCAGGCTGGCTGGTGCTGCGGAGGGCACAGGCCCCGGAGAAGGGGAGGACAGGAGAAGGCGGGAGGCCGCGGCGTGGGAAGAAGCGCCGGCTCTGTGCCAGGTATGTGCTGGGTTCTTAACCCACCTCGAGCCATTCACTCCTTGACCAGAAAACCCCAGGAAGGAGGTGCTGGAGGACGATTTACAGCGCCTTGGAGATGAGGAGGTTACACAGCTAGGCTTTCTGCTCCAGGGCTCCCCTGGCATTTTTAAGAGGGTTTCTTGCCAGTTGCCATCAAGTCAGCTCCAATGCATGGCGACCCCACGGGGGTCAGTGTCAGAGTAGAACTGTGCTCCACAGGGTTTGTTGGTTTTTTTTGTTTTTCTTTCAATAGTTTTCTTTTTTTGTACTTTAGATGAAGGTTTACAGAGCAAATGAATTTCTCATTAAACAGTACACATATTGTTTTGTGACACTGGTTGCCAACCCCGCAACATGTCACACTCTCTCCTTCTTGACCTTGGGTTCCCCATTACCACCTTTCCTGTCCCCTCCTGCCCTCTCATCCTTTCCCCTGGGCTGATGTGCCCATTTAGTCTTGTTTTGTTTTATGGGCCTGTCTAATCTGTGGCTGAAGGGTGAACCTGAGGAGTGACTTCAGTACTGAGTTAAAAGGGTATCCTGGGGGCCATACTCTCGGGGTTTCTCTAGTCTCTGTCAGACCAGTAAGTCTGGTCTTTTTTTGTGAGTTTGAATTTTGTTCTGCATTTTTCTCCAGCTCTGTCCAGGACCCTCTATTGTGATCCTTGTCAGAGCAGTCGGTGGGGGTAGCTGGTTACTATCTACTCGTGCTGGACTCAGTCTGGTGGAGGCTGTGGTACTTGTGGTCCATTAGTCCTTTGGACTAATCTTTCCCTTGTGTCTTTGGTTTTCTTCATTCTCCCTTGCTCCAGATGGGGTGGGACCAGTGGAGTATTTTAGATGGCCACTCACAAGCTTTTAAGACCCCAGACGCTACTCACCAAAGTAGGGTGTAGAAAATTTTCTTTATAAAGTATGTTATACCAATTGAGCTAAATGTCCCCCGAGGCCATGGTCCGCAGCCCTCAGCCCAGTAATTCGGTCCCTCAGGGAGTTTCGCTGTGTCTATGAAGCTTCCATGACCTTGCCTTGGTCAAATTGTCCTAACTTCCCCATTTACACTGTTTTCAATGGCTGATTTTTCAGAAGTAGATCTCCAGGTCTTTCTAACTGCCAGCCTCCCACTTAGCAGCCAAGCTCGTTAACCGTTGGCCTTCCAGGGATTCCAAGAGGGTCTCTAAACAAACAAACAGGCAAAAACTATTGCTGTTAAGTCAATTCTGACTCATAGTGACCCCACAGGACAGAGGAGAGCTGCCTCATAGGGTTTCCAAGGAGCGGCTGATGGTTCAAACAGCTGACCTTTCAGTTAGCAGCCAAGCTCTTAGCCACTGCGCCACCAGGGCTCCATCCCAACATTACAGTCACATTCATTCCTTATCAAGGTGTCAAACTGATTTGAGATGGGAAGTTCCTGTTTTATATATATATACATATATATATATAATTTTTATTTATTTTATTGTTGAGAATATACACAGCAAAGCATACACCAATTCAACAGTTTTTCTACTCGTACCATTTAGTGACATGGATGACATTCTTTGAGTTGTGCAATTCTCACCCCCCTTTTCTGACTTGTTTCTTCTCATTAACATAAACTCACTGC